TTGCTTGGCGTTGGAGAACAAAATTTGACCCAAAAGGATTTTCAGCTAGATCAAAGAACTTTAGATTCATAATTATGAGAAAATACTTGTCCTTTTGAATATCTTCTCTTGAATATATTTTTGTTTAAATCATGCAATGCTAACTTTACATATTTGTACATAAGTGTGCTAAACATAAATCTTTAACAAAAATATGAATAATCCTGTACATGGCCAATGTATAAGTATGAAGCCAATGCAAAATGTCATGCTTTTATTTTTACAAATATTCTCAAGAAAGGAACATTGTTTGGAGAAGTAGAAACCATGCTCTCCACACAAGTACTTACGACCTTTGATAAAAATAAAAATATACTTTATGTAGTTTGTTTTGATTGTTATGCAAGTCTTTACATAACTGATCAAAAATATAATGGAAATAATAGCAGCATATTTCGGTTTTAAAGCTATTCAAAAAGGAAACATAAAAACAACAACTGTAATATAAAAATCTACCAACCATTTTAGTAAATAACTTTGCTTTTAAAAAAAGAAAATACTATGAACCAAAATCTGTCTCTTCAATTAGCAAAAAACTACGGTACTGCTTTATATGATGTAGCAAGCAAATAAAAATAGGTCTAATTAACGATCAAGTACAATATTTATCAAATATATTCGAAAAAGTCCAAAATGGTTTGTACTATATTAATAAAAGAATTCACAATAAAAAGCCATGAGTTAGATAATGTATGTTGTATAGTAGAAATAGCAAAAACTAGCATATTTTTCAATAAATCAGAGCAATATCAGAATATAATGAATAATAACACAAATTAAAAATGGACAGGTGCAATTTTCACAACCTCCTTCAGAGAAAGAAACAAATGTCTTGTTATGATTGCCAAAAAACATTTTGAAAGTAATATTTACCGCATACTAGAAATTAATCCATGTTTAAGAAATGGAATTCATATAGAAACAGATTAGAAAAAACATCGATTTCTATAAGCAACTCAATAAGGCATTTAAATAAATTAAAGGCTTCTATTGCACAAAAAGTTAGCTTAAAATTGTATGATAATATTAACCCACAATTAGCAAATGAAGAACATCTACCAATCATGCCAATAGAATATGAAGATGTAATAGATACATTCAAGCAAGAAATAGAACACATAAACCTAACAGCATCTATACAAAAACACGGACATGTAATTAGTGTTGCTGACGGCATAGTCCAAGCGGCTGGCATAGAAAATGTAGAGGCGGGAGCAGTGCTAAGATTGAATCTGGGGTAAAAGGAGCAGCAATGAACTTAGAAAATGAATGCACATCGATAATGCTACTTTGCAAAGAAGATATGGTACAACAAGGAGAGCAGTCTTTAGAGAAAAAACGTTAAACTCTCCTGGTGGAAAAAAATACTTGGAAGAGTACTAGATGGGCTGGGTAATCCAATCGATGGAGAGGGCCCACTGGACAATGCGTTAAAGAGCCTTTTATACACAGGAATAAAATGTATTGATGCTTTAATTCCAATAGAAAAAGCCAAAGAGAACTAGAATAGGGAATAGGCAAACTGGAAAACCTGCCATAGCAATAGATACAATAATCAATCAACAAATTGTTCCAACGATGAACAAGTTTATTGTATATATGGCTATAGGTCAAACATGTTCTACTGTCGCTTATATAAGAAAATGCAAGAACACGATGAATTAAAATACACCACTATAAACAAGTACAAGCGCTTCTGATCCAGCTTCTATACAATATTTAGCGCCATATTTTGGATGCGCTATAGGGGATTACTTTAGAGATAATGGAACGCATGCTTTAGCTATATACGACGACCTAAGTAAACATGCAGTATCTTACTGACAAATTTCTTTACTATTAAAAAGACCACCTGGAAGAGAAGCATGTCCAGGAGATGTATTCTTTACACATGCAAAGTTATTAGAAAGAGCTTCAAAAATGTCTGAAGAAAGAGGAGGTGGCTCTTTAACGGCTTTACCAATTGTAGAAACTCAAGCAGGAGACATATCTGCTTACGTACCAACAAACGATATTTCTATAACAGATGGGCAAATATGTTTAGAAGAAGATATATTTGTCAAAGGTATAAGACCAGCAGTAAATGTTGGATTATCTGTAAGTAAAGTAGGATCTTCAGCACAGATTAGAGCAATTAGGAAAGTATCTGGAAAAATAGAGCTTGCTCAACACAGGGAACTAGAAAACTTCACATCGTTTGCTTCAGATTTAAATGAAGAGACTAGAAATATATAAGATCATGGAGCAAGGGTTATAGAGTCTATGAAGCAAGGGCAGTATAAGCCTCTACCCATGGTTTATCAAGTAGTAACTATATATATGTATATACAGATGAACAACTATGCAAAAGACATACCCTTAAACCAAATTGTTTTCAATCTAGATTCATTAAACATATACAACAAGACTACCCTTATTTCATAGAAGATATTAATAAAAAATAAACTACTTACCAAATAAATCGAAAATTTACTACAAGAAATAGTCCCGAAATTTACAAGTACTCTCATCAAAGAACATAAGAATCCTGACAAGAAATAAATTAACATTGTCATAAAAGACTGACTTAAAAGATGTAAATAATACAATTCATAGTGTAAATTATGTAAAACATGCAAAACTAATGAATATGATATCATCCTCTAGATTAACTCACTTAAGAAATATTCACGATGAAGTAAAATCGACAAAAAACACATATAAAAGTCTTTATCAAGTTCATTTAAGCATGAAACAAACAAACTAGACATATATTCTGAAAAACAAGAAACAACTTATCTAATTTTGGATCACAAAAAGGACTCTGTAGCAGTTTTAATCAAAAAAGTAGCACGTGTTTTATATGAGCATGTTTATGTTTAAAAAAAACGTTCAAGTAAGAATCATGTATTACTTAAGGAAAATGTTCAATTCTGCAAAAAAACTTTTGACTGAGCGAAATACTCACTTAATACCTTTGGATTTACCTTATGAAAATATGTTTTAAAATTTTCTAAACAATTTTTACAAATATGTGTTTAACAAATGCTTCAATTTTCACAAGTTTATTTTAGTGCATGTAAAAGTAGTTTAGAAAGCTCTCCAAAAATTACTAAAATAAAATGAAATTATGAAGACCTTCCTCTCCCTTTCATAGAAGCAAATAAGAAAGATGCACTGGAGGATTTATACAAAATATATACTATATCAAGTTTGTTATTGCATGTTACCTAGTAGAACATCAGAAGAGAAGTTTAGAATGGTTGCTATGAACAGTGCTACACCAAGATGCTTTGATCTTGTAGATCACTTAATTATAATAGTGAATAAGTTTAGACAGGCAAATATTACAAGAGAAATACTAGAAACTATATCTAGTTATCAATCAAAACAACAAACGTAACTAAATATAAGAAAAAAGTGACTGAACAAAAAATAGGCAAAATATCCCAAATATTATCCTCAGTAGTAGATGTAAAATTCGAAGATGAAAACCTTCCACCAATACTAACTGCGCTTACAGCAAAGCATCAAGGTAAAACTTTAACCCTAGAAGTGGTGCAACATATCGGAGATAAATCAGTAAGTGTTACCAGAAACTGTGATGTTATTTCTACTGAAAATCCAATATCAGTTCCTGTCGGAAAAGAAACCCTAGGAATAGTTTTCAATGTTACAGGAGAGCCAATAGATAACAAAGGAGAAGTAAAAGCTTCTACTTGTCGACAAATACATCAACCCCCGCCAAGTTTTACAGAACAATCTACAGAGAAAAACTATTAGTTACAGGCACTAAAGTACTATATTTTTCTAGCCCCTTCATAAAGGGAGGAAACATAGGATTATTTGGAGGTGCTGGAGTTGGAAAAACTGTTTTAGTTATGGAATTGAACAAATAATATAGCAAATTTATACGCTGGGTATACGGTGTTTGCAGGTGTTGGAGAAAGAACTAGAGAAGGAAATGAGTAAAACAATCAAATCATCCAATCTGGAGTAATAAATACCGAAAAATTCCCCCCGGCCATTGGTTTTTGCCTGTACTTGGTACTACTCAAACTGATCTTGAGGCCGTTGATTACATGCCCATCAAAAGCACAGATTGGAAAGGATTTCGCTGTCGACATCTGCACGCATTCGGCAGCTGATATTGGACAAGCGCAAGTGCTGCGAGTAAACACCAAGATCTTCGGAGGCGGTGGGATATAGGTGGTTGAGCAAACTAGTCGAGCAACTTTTGCTGCAAACACGTGTGCGCCTAATAGGGCGTGAATTACCCTTCCACGGGGGGGGGGGGCGAAGGGAGGGCGACCCGGGAAACGCGCAAAACACTGGTTGAAACACAGGGGGTGCCCTGATTGAAGCAGGGGATTCCCTGCACTTTTCTCCTCCAATCATCCATCATTATTTGCGAACTTCCGAAGGAAATTCGATTCAAGATGAATAGACCCCAGGTTGATCATGGGGGGATTTATGCATCTGTGCGTCGATAAAACGTGGGACAACTGCTAGGTTTCTGAAGACATCCGTTGACAGCATTTTGCAATCTCTAAAACGGAATTCCAATAAACTTGGTGGGCTGGGCTTAAAGGGACGCCTAAAGGAAAACCTACAGGCGTAGCCAGTTAGGAGCACTCCACGTGTCACGCGATGGACAAGGAAGCACGACATATCTGACTAGGAAGCCTTTGGTGTCTTGCCTCTAAGAATGGGGACATGACCCTATTATTCTAACGGTTGATTCCCCATTCTTTTCAACCATTGTTCCTTTCAAAAACTGCCCGTTTGTGTGTTGGTTTCCGGGTGTTTTCTATCAAACCACCAGGAATTGGGCCGCAGGTTTCAGTCCATGTTTCCAGGTTTCAGTCCATGTTTCCATTCTACAAGGGCCCCATTTTGGGCTTACCCTATTTTTGACCCACAACCATTTTTGTGTTTTGACTTATAGACACAGGGAGGTCTTCGAACACCAATCCCTCCAGGGGTATCGAAGACTCTCAGAGCAGAGGCGGGTCTCAGCTCGGTTTCAAGGGAGGAGAACCGAAGCCATTCTGTGGGTCCAATCCAGAGGAGGTCACAAGTGACAAGCGCGTTGGGCAGTCCGGGTTCTTGGAGTCTTGGAATGGTTTGATTGTTCAAGGTGTTGGCAAGGCTATAGTCAGAAAAATTGGATTCTGTCTGTTTTTTGAGACGCACGTTGCTGGGATCAAGGGAATGGCTGGGGCCCCCAAGCCTTAGTTGGTATTGCTGGAGACCCCAAAGCGATTTTATACCAGGTAGGCTAAACCTTAGAGCCTCCGGCTCAGTCCGCCGACATTGCTCTCCCTTTTCGCCTCTCTCTCTCCCTCTCTCTCTCTCTCTCCTTCTCCCGCTCTCTCTCTGTCCTCTTTCTCTCTCTCAGCGTCACGTCTTCCTGAGTTGCACTGCCTCTTCATGACCCTGAACTGTCTGCTTACTTCTGGCTTTTTCCTTAATTTCCCTGCACGTCCTTTTCACGTTTCCCATGATGTCCTGGTCATGTCCCTTCCATTCCTTTCAGCTCCCCCTTCATGTTTGTGTCATTTTCTCGGTATGTCCGCTTCATGTTCCACGCATGTCCCGTTCTTTCGTTGCCAGTCATTTCCCTACATCTCCCGTCGTGATTGGTTTCCTTGTCCTTTGTTTCCCTTTCATTCCCCCTGCGCTCCCCTTGTTTTCATTTCTGTCCCTTTCATGTCCCTGTCAGTTCCGCTTTGTTTCCCTTTCACTTCCCCTTGCTTTCCTATCATGTCGACTTCCTATTCCTCCCCTCATTTCCTTGTAGTTTCCCGCAAAAAACATGGTTTTTCCAGCGTTTTTTGCAAACAGGATGTCAAAAAACACAGAGCTTTTCAAGATTTCCGGCAAAAGGAGGCAGGAAACCCAAACCAGCAAAGAAGACTACGTTGAGTGGAGCGTCATCAAATTACCGCGTGGCGCGTGGGGCACCCGCTGTGTTTGTTTTTCGGGCTCATTGATCTCCACGCAACACCATTTTGGCTCAAGGCCTTTCATGTCACACACTCGATGTACATAGCTCACTGAGCCATTGCATCCGTGATACAAAGGTGCTACAGCGGACCACTTTCATGGTCATCCACAACACGCAATCCACCAGGGCTAATCCAATATCAATCCATCAGTATTGACACTTGGACTCTCCGGAATAGATCCAGGGACCCCAAAGATCCTCTACTCCACAAGGTATCGGTTCCTTCGAAGATAAGATACCCCCAGCAATGGCACTCAACTTGTGGCAGCGGAGCGGGTTTTACGCAGAGATCCAAACAAGATGTCATCCGATGGAGAAGGCTTCATGGAGGCCTATTCAAGTGTAGGCCGATCATCCGGCTTCACTGAAGAGTTTATCGATGACCGCCAAGCAGACGCCGTTGTACGACGGAAAAGTCAGCTGGTTTAGATATGAAGAACTCGTAGATGATTGGGTGACCTTCACCACCATCGAAGCATCCAAAAGAGGACCACTCCTCAACAGCAGACTCATCGGAGACGCTCACATGTACCAGACAGTCCTCCGGAATGATCTTTTGCAAGACTGATGAAGGAGTCAACTATTTCAAGAACACGCTGAAGAAGTTCTTCCTGAAGGGCTTGACGAACGTGTACTTATACAGACTTCTCAGTTTCTTCAATCACAGAAGGCAGAACGCCGAGTTCCTCTTTTGCACATCCAAATTTGAAATTCTCTTGATGAGATTGAAGGCAGCCTGGATGGACTTGATGCCTGTTCACACGCACGGCACAGTCACCAGAGTTCACAGCAGCAGTGCGCGATGCCAATGCAAGAAGAATGGCCGCGCATCAGCAAGCAGCCGGCGTCAGAGCCGCGCCTCCAGATCTGCTGGCACAGACAATCCAGAAGTACTCAGGCAGTACCTCAACGGCATGCAGACAAAACACAAGGACGCATTTCCCCTCAGCAACAATCTCATTGCACAATGTTTCATCATCCAGAGTGAATTGTTAGATCAGCAGAGAGAAAGACTGATCAGTGCAATGTCTTTGATCAACCTCTCGCTCGAGAATTATGCCTACGAGATGATGAAGGGACAGTATCACGATCTCTTCATTACGAGCAGAACGCCCATCCAAGATCCATCCATCCGACCTCCCGGAGGAAACCGGAGTAATGCGTTCTACATCCTAGAACAAGGGGAGTATGAAGGTGAAGAAGGTTTCTGGGTGGAAGATGTAGAAGGACTGGAAGGATTCATGGCAACTAATGATGAAGAGACATTTTTTTGAGTTTTGGAGGAGAATGATGCGTTCATTGCAAGGAAGGTGTCTGGGCGAAATTTCAGGTTCAAAAAGAGGAAAGGAAAAGGAAAATCAAGGGCAGTCACCAACGAGGCGGCGTCAAACCTTTTCGAAAAAGTGGCTCCGGCGGGAAGGCCACTTTGGCCAACGCAAATCAAGATCCCTACGACCAGGCATATTGGGGAAAAGGCATCGGAAAGAAGGGGACAGGAAAATCGAAATTTCAAAAACCCTGTGATGGAAACAAAGGTTGTCCATCCTATGAGAATGGCAAAGGAAAAGGCGGACATGACAAAGGAAAATCCAAAACGTTCGCAGCCACAGCAGAGAATTTGGAGGAGCAGTCCGCCAATCAGCGGACTGTACCATCCACAGAGCCTACAAAGGCCGGTTGGACAGACCAAGACTGGGATCCATCATGGAATTGGAGTGAACCAGGCTGGTACTCATCCATGAGACATCCAGCACAGGACAAGCAGTAATGGCATTCCATGACGCATTTCAGCAGCATGAGAAGAAGCCATCCACAAGAAGCTGATCCAAGACGATCCAGCTTCAGAACACAATTTGTCCGTCACAACAAGTCAGAGTTTTTTAGCAACAAAGCTGGTGTGTCATCAACCCTCAGCACAGTCCGACCTCTGCAATTTTGGACAACGGAATCGAACCCATGAAAGACCCCATCTCCTACCAGCCGGGGATTATTCGAAGAGCGAAACTGTTTGTGCATCCAAATCATCCGAGAGAAAAGAGGACACAGCAACTCCAAAAATCATTGGGTCTCTGAAGCAGGACCGTTGGGTACTCGACAAGAAGAACAAGCAGCTCATCCGTGTGTGCATCACGCCTTGTAAGGCGCTGTTCACGCCAACTGGAGCGAAGGAATGTCCAATCATTCCTGACAAGATCAGCCGAGAACGTACAACAGAAATCATTGATGCGTCCAAGGGCGGAGAGCCAGACATCCTAGAAGACAATTGGAGACTTACATCCCAGGCGAACAAACCAATGATGAACCTGTGGAAAGGTAAGACCATTTTCACCTTCGCAGACAATCCGCTAAAAGATGAAGAATCAGGTTCAGGATCTGCAGCAGACAGGATCATCGACAAGAAAGGCCGGTCGGCCATTGAGCCAGATCCTCCTGCGCCATCCGCAGACGAACCAACATGGTTACCGCTTGCCTTAGGCAGAATCCTCCAGCGATTGCCAAGGCTCGAAGAGTTGAAGAAGCTCCACCTTCAGCATCATCGTAATTCCGATTCAGAACTCGTGCGATTCACTTGCCAAAATCAACCCACGATGTGTTTGACAGAACCCGAAGCGAGTGCGAAGTTGGCCCAGGTGAGAGCTTCAATCCTGAAGGCGGTGAGCTTGGAACCTGATTTGAACAAAAGCAGCTTGAAGAATCTACTCTGGGCTGGAAGCAGGTTTGACAGGATCTCTACTCTACCACTTGAGGAGGGCAAAGAACAACACAGAGAAGTGCCAGCAGCTGGTTGCCAAGTCATCATCTGGTTCACTTGCCAAAGTGAAGCCCCTCATTGCCATGCTGACCAGGCCAGCTGAGGGCAAGCAAGCAGCAAGGCAAGAAGCAGAAAAAACCATGCCCCTTGAGCTTCAAGCCGCAAAGGCACCAAGCTAAAGACAAAGAGGCAGTCAGAGCATGGCAAGAAGAGCCCTTTCCACTACAGAAAGGAGTACTACAAGAATGGCAACAAGTTTGGTGTGAAGAAATTTGACAATGGGAAGTGCATGGGCCAGATTTTTGTTTTTGGGCACAAGGACATCCACAAGGTGGAATTGGATGCCTTGCCATCCAAAGTCCTACACGCTCTTCATTTGAGGCCAGGGGACAAGGCCAAAGAAGAGGAGATCATGCTCCTGGCCAAGCACAAAGTTTCGAAGATGCTGAAGAATAAGCATGATTAGTTTGGCATGGGTAGCTGGTGCAGCAAGTAAACCTAGCACATGTGTTGTTTGTGAAATTGTCATGAAAACCCCTGCATAAGGGGAGCTGAAAAAAGCAATTCCCCTTGCAGAAGGGGTGGAGAAGAGAACAGAAGAGGGTGCGTGCGCAGGCCTCTGCACAAAAAGCGCAGGCGTACCTTGCATGAGCTGATTTGCAAGTGTCTGACCACACAGGCCACCACACACACACATTGTTGCATGGTGCTGCAGTTCAATGGCCCACGCTGAGATTAGCCTAACACTGGCGAGAAGCATGAATAACATGCAGCCTGGCCCATTCATGAATGTGGAGCAGCTGCAAGCATTGCTGCAAGCCCAGAGGCCTGTCCGAATGCTGCCCTTGAGCATGCCTCTGCTGCAGACGCAGCAGCAGCAGCTTGACGAACAAGAGCTGTGCAGGTTGCTGCAGGCTTTGAGCCAGCAAGTTTCTGCGCAATCATTCTGGACGTCAGATGATGCAGCTGGAGATCCTGACCTTGAGGAAGGCCAGAAACAAAAGCCAAAAGGAAGGTTGACCTGCTGGCCAGCCGAACCACGAAGAACAAGCATGCTGGAACAAGTGCTGGAGCTGCTGCAAAGCCTGAAGACCCTGAAGAAGCCCTGGATCCCCAAGCCTGGTCAGCTGATGGTGGGCAAGTTGCACTGGTGCGACAACTGTGGGTATGGCCACTAAAAGAGGGAGTGGCAAGGAAGCTGGGAAGGAGAAAGCCAGCCCAGCAAGAGCAGTCACTCAGCAGCAGC